TTTCGTGCTAGGACAGTCGTTTATGCATTAAAATTGCCATTTGTTTTGGTATATAATTTATTGCATAATGTATTTTTAGAAAATGGCCAATTGGATAGATCGGTAGAATTATTTTCCCAGGTTTAAAAAGGCGGTAATTTGAGGTTCCGATATGGTTGTGAATAACTTTGACAGTTTTCATGCTATGACAGTCATTTATGCATCATTTTAAAGCATAGCAGTTGCACTTTGTTTTGGTGTATAATTTGTGGCATAATGAATTTTTACAAAAATTGGATAGATCGGTATATTTATTGGTACAGGTTTAAAAACGCGGTAATTTAAGGCTCCGATATGGCTGTAAATAACATTGACAGTTTTCACGCTATGACAGTCATTTATGCATCATTTTAAAGCATTATGATTGCACTTTAATATGGTATATCATTTGTGGCATAATGTGTTCGTCTAAAAAATGGTCAATTTGATGGATCGGTAGAATTATTGTTCTATGTTTAAAAACGCGATAATTTGAGGTTCCGATATGGTTGCAAATAACATTGACAGTTTTCATGCTATGACAGTCATTTATGCACCATTTTAAAGCATTATGATTGCACTTTAATATGGTACATAATTTGTAGCATAATGTGTGTTTCTACAAATTGGTCAATTTGATAGATCGGTAGAATTATTGTTTTATGTTTAATAAACGCTGTAATCTGAGGTTCCGATATGGTTGCAATTAACTTTGAGAGTTTTCGTGCTAGGACAGTCATTTATGCACCATTTTAAAGCAGTAAAATTGCCATTTGTTTTGGTATATAATTTATTGCATAATGTATTTTTAGAAAATGGCCAATTGGATAGATCGGTAGAATTATTCTCCCCGGTTTAAAAAGGCAGAAATTTGAGGTTCCGATATGGTTGCGAATAACTTTGACAGTTTTCATGCTATGACAATCATTTATGCATCATTTTAATGCATTACGATTGTACTTTAACTTGGTATATCACTTGTGGCAAAATGTGTTCTTCTAAAAAATTGTAAATTTGATGGATCGGTAGAATTGTTGTTCTATGTTTAAAAACGCTATGAGTTGAGGTTCCGTTATGGTTGCAAATAACTTTGACAGTTTTCATGACAGGACAATCGTTTATGCATCATTTTAAAGCATTACATTTGCACTTTGTTTTGGTGTATAATTTGTGGCATAATGAATTTTTACAAAAATTGGATAGATCGGTATATTTATTGGTACAGGTTTAGAAATGCGGTAATTTAAGGCTCCGATATGGTTGCAAATATCTTTTATAGTTTTCATGTTATAGCAGTCGTTTATATATCTTTTTATTGCATTATAGTTGCCATTTGTTTTGGTAATTTGAGGTTCCGATATGGTTGTGAATAACTTTGACAGTTTTCATGCTATGACAGTCATTTATGCATCATTTTAAAGCATTATGATTGCACTTTAATTTGGTATATCATTTGTGGCATAATGTGTTCGTCTAAAAAATGGTCAATTTGATGGATCGGTAGAATCATTGTTCTATGTTTAAAAACGCGATAATTTGACGTTCCGATATGGTTGCAAATAACATTGACAGTTTTCATGCTATGACAGTCATTTATGCATCATTTTAAAGCATTATGATTGCACTTTAATATGGTATATCATTTGTAGCATAATGTGTGTTTTTACAAATTGGTCAATTTGATAGATCGGTAGAATTATTGTTCTATGTTTAATAAACGCAGTAATCTGAGGTTCCGATATGGTTGCAATTAACTTTGGCAGTTTTCGTGCTAGGACATGCACCATTTTAAAGCATTAAAATTGCCATTTGTTTTGGTATATAATTTATTGCATAATGTATTTTTAGAAAATTGCAAATTGGATAGATCGGTAGAATTATTTTCCCAGGTTTAAAAAGGCGGTAATTTGAGGTTCCGATATGGTTGTGAATAACTTTGACTGTTTTCATGCTATGACAGTTGTTTGGGGCCAAATCGGTAATCCCGGTTGTTACCTCTTAGTTGCTGAGCTGGTTCCTAGGTGCTGGTTGTTGGCAAACTGTCTCCGGCAGCCGTCCACTTGGTTTTCTCTTGATGCGGCAGGTCAGGGCCAAATGTGTTTTTATATACACACAAACACTTGTTGTTGTGTTGCCAAAAAACAACCCTTATTTTTATTTTATTAAAAAGCTTTGTTTACTTCTTTTCTTTTGTATTTCTGTTTATTTTATTTAAGTTCACTTTTCCTTTTGTTTTTATTTAATTAAACTTTAATTTTATTTTAATTCTTAAACTTTTATTTTATTTCAATTTCTTTTATTAATTTTGCACTTGTTGTCTGTCCGGTGGTTGAAAAGCAATGAGAATAAAAAAAATGTGTCAAGCCCTTTGACATAAAGAGCAACGCAAACTCACTACACTAAAGTGGGGAGTTGCCATATAATGCATATTGTTCTAGCGATTTTACACATAGAGAAAATATAAACTATGTGTTACACTAGACAGACACAAACATACCGCCCACCTTGCAACGGTAGTGCAAAATATAAAATCAAATACAAAATTAGATATAAGTAATATAACAAATTCAATTATGTTATCTAGAGCAACAAATTAACATTTTAAGTTCATTATTGTTAATTATAAAAAAGGAATAACAAAAGTTAACAAATATAATTAACATATGAGAACAATTCAAGTATATAAAAAATAATAGTACATTCAAATGTTTTTAAGTGTAACGTTAAAGAGTACATATCAAACAAAATGTAAATAATACTTTAAAGCCTTTTGAGGGCAACAAATTATAGCATAAATAATATACTTCAGGTTCTTTTGACACCTTCTCCAAAATATGCTATGCCGAATATGGTATTCTGGGCATATAGTTGTCCTGGGCGACTCATAGCTGGTCCAATCAGAATTCTGCTCATAGTATCAGCTCCTAGGATAAGCTGGTAAGGTCAACTAATATGCCAGTGTACGTCCGCATTGGCACGGTCTACAGTTGTTGGACGTAGATATTTGTCTGCTCGCTCCACATTAACAATAGGGCTTCGGCCGTAAATCTTGTCTTCTAAAATACATTCAACCGTTATGCGACGTTTCTTCTCGCGACGATGGTATACAACGATGTCAGTACGTCCTTTAGAAATCCGTAAGCCCAATTCTTCGACTTCACGTTTCATGATTGCTGACCTGGCCGCTGTTGGATCTATTAATGCTCTAATGAAGACGTCAGTATCATGATTGGTGACTACCCGTATCAACGCTGTCATGGGAAACCAAATACGGCCCTGCGGCAAAGGGTGCAACCAAGTATTATGGTCCTGCATACAGCGACGGCACCGATCTATACTTCTACAATTCGCTCGGCTGTGCGACTGAGCCAGGCAGTTATAACATAACAAGTTTTGGGCAACAACTCGAAGCTTTAGCTCCACGGGCATCACAATAAAACGTGAACACTGTCGTATGGCGTGAAGGCGATTACAAAGCGGGCAACCATAATCGGTGTTGAAGTCCATTTTTATACCCTACACCACTATAGTGGGGAGGGTATTATGCGTTTGTGCTGATGTTTGTAACACCCAAAAATATTGGTCCTACACCCACCTTAAAGTATACCAATCGACTCAGAATCACTTCCTGAGTCGATTAAGCTATGTCCGTCTGTCCGTCCGTCCGTCTGTCTGTGTGTCCATGTAAACCTTGTGCGCACTCTACAGGTCGCAATTTTTGAGATAATTTGATGAAATTTGGAACATGCACTTCTCTTGGTCCAAGGACGAACGCTATTGAAAATGGTTGAAATCGGTCCATTATTTCACCTAGCCCCCATACAACCAGACCCCCCGAATAGGGCTTTTGACCTCATAATTATGTTAAATGATCTGCTATCTCTACAAAAATTGGAAAAGTTTAGTTTTATATATGTCTTAATAATTCTAGTGATTTTCGTAAAGATCGGGCATTATTTGACCCTAGCCCCCATACAAAGTCCCCCTCAGAAAATGACTTGAATGTCCACAATTCACTTATAAACAGTAGTATCACGATGAAATTTGGCACAAATGAGTTTTATATAAACATAATTCCCAACAATAAATTTTATAGGGATCGGACCAAGTTTTACTCTAGCCCCCATATAAGCGGACCTTCCGATTTGGGCCTTTTAGCTCATAACTTTGTCAAATACACTACTATCTCTCCAAAAATCGGCACAACTAAGTTGGATATAATTATAAATAACACTGTCGATTTTTATAATGATCGGGCATTATTTGACCCTATCCCCTATACAAAATCCCCTTCAGGAAATGACTTGAATGTCCACAATTCACTTATAAACACTAGTATCAATATGAAATTTACCACAAATAGATTTTATATAAACATTTTATATAAAATGTCGACATTAAATTTTATAAGGATCGGACCAATTTTTTCCCTAGCCCCCATACAACCGGACCTACCGATTAGGGCCTCTTAGCTCATGACTACGATAAATATACTACTATCTTCCCAAAAATTGGCACAACTAAGTTTGATATGTAATTATAAATAACACTGTAATTTTTCGCCATGATCGGAACAATGTGTTGATGTTTGTAGCACTCAAAAATATTTGTCCTTATTAAGCTATGTCCGTCTTTGTGACCGTGTAAAACTTGTGTGCACGCAACAGATCGCAATTTTGAATATAATTTGTTAAAATGTGTCACATACTATTCTCTTGATCCACTGACGATGGCTGTTGAAAATGATTAAAATCGGTCTTCTATTTTTCCTAGTCAGCATACAACCGAACATGAACAGACATTATTTGGAACCTATATAAGATTAACAGAAATGCGTAATTATTGAAATTAATCACATTTAATATTGGCAATTGGTGTAGGGTATCATATGGTCGGCCACGCCCGACTATAATTTCTTACTTGTTTTTTAATCTAGAAGTTTAAATGAGCAACTTTATTTTAGAAAAGGTGATATTGAATTATTAATCAGTGCAATTAGGGAGTAAAACTAATTTGTGTATCGGTCGAGTGATTTCGCCATTTTGAGTTTTAAGGTCAGCCACTCGAACTTTACCGTCAGAACCATGATAAACTTTTACAACACGACCTAAGCGCCATTCAGTTGGACAACAAGGTTCACTTTTAAGAACAACGAGGTCATTTTCTTTTAAGTCTATTTGGGGACTTTTCCATTTATTACGCTTGTGCAACTCTTTTAAATATTCGTCTTTCCAACGGTGACAAATTTCTTGCTGCAATGCTTTGATTTTTCGCCAACGGTTTACTATACTAATTGGCGAGCTAAGCTCTTCAGGTTCAGCAGGAGTAAGAATAGCAGAGCCTATTAAAAAATGACCAGGAGTAAGAGCGGGCAAATCATCGATGCTGTCGGACGTAGGGCCAAGAGGACGCGAATTGAGACACGATTCTATCTTTGCCAAAAGTGTCGAAAACTCTTCAAACGTATATTTCATTTGTCCAGCTGACTTTTTAAAGTGCATTTTCAAACTTTTTACTCCTGCCTCCCACAGTCCTCCTATATGAGGAGCTGCTGCAGGAATAAAGTGCCACTCAAGATGTTGATGACCATATTTTTCTACTGCCGAATCACGTAATTCTTCTATATGTTTTTCGAAGTTATTTTCAAGTTCTCTTGCAGCGCCAACAAAATTCCTTCCATTATCAGAGAAAATGCGACTAGGGCAACCACGACGAGCAACAAATCGAGCCAAAGCTGCTAGAAATGCAGGAGTGGACAAATCGCTAACGGCCTCAATGTGAATCGCCTTAGTAGAGAAACAAACAAATAGACACACGTAGCCTTTAGTGATACGGCAATATCGACCAGTGAAACTTTTGATTTCAAATGGGCCGGCAAAATCAACACCTGTGTTAGTAAAAGGGCGACTTAAAGTAGTTCTTTCTTCAGGTAGCACTGCCATGATCTGATTTTGAAGCTTTTTTCTATGTATAACGCAGATTTTACAGTTGTGGATGACCGTTTTTATTAGATTTTTAGCCTTTATAATCCAACACTCCTGACGTACGACATTTAGGACTAAACGAGGGCCTCCATGTAAGACCATATTGTGGACAAACTCAACGTAAAGTCGTGCTAATCTACTAGTATATGCAAGTATTACGGGATGTCGTTCATTGTATGACAAACATTTTGTAGAGCCAAGACGACCATTAGCACGAATAATACCATTTTTGTCTAAGAAAGGCATAAGCGTTAATAAAGGACTACGAGAGTCAATTTTCTTTTTCGATGACAGACAACTAAACTCATCAGAAAAGTGCGACTGTTGAGAGAGAAAAAATAGCCGATTTCGTACAAATACAAGTTCTTGAGCGGAAATTGCTTTTGCTCGCAAGATTAAAAAATCTAAATATATAAGCAATAACATGATATGCTCTGGGCAAACTTGAGAAACGGTCCAGTATATCTTCTCGTTCAGCGGATCTAGCAATATTAACTTGCACTTGTTTCGATTCTTCTACTGTTTCGAATTCTAATGGACCTTCGGGCCACGACGATTTGTTTAATCTGAGCCAATCAGGACCATGCCACCAAAGTTTGTTTTCTCTTAAATCCGAAGGTATCAGCCCCCGGGTTGCTAGATCGGCAGGATTGTGATTAGAAGCTACGTGAAACCAATTTTTGTTTCCTACTTTTTCTAATATTGTTGCTACCTTATTTGCAACAAAGGTTTTCCAATTACATGGCGGTTTTCGTAACCAAGCAAGAACTATTGTCGAATCGGACCACAAATATAAATTATACGTATGCAATTTGAAATTGGGGATTACGCTGTTTACTAAATTGGCTAAAAGAACTGCGCCACACAACTCTAAACGCGGCAAAGATGGCCTTTTAACTGGAGCCACTTTTGTTTTGCCAATTAGTAGATTTACATAAACTTTATCACCATTCACAATACGTATATATAGTGTAGCTGCGTAAGCTAACTCAGAAGAGTCACAAAAGCCATGAAATTCAATATAAGAACTAGGCGTATATTGAACCCAACGATCAAGTTTAATTGTATCAATCTCATTATAATTAGAAATGAATGTCTTCCATTTTTGTAGAGCCACAGGTTTTATATGTTCGTCCCAGTCTATTTTGTCGAGCCACATTTGCTGCATCAAAATCTTTGCTGTTATAATCACTGGGGCCAACCAACCTGCTGGATCAAATAGCCTTGCTATAATTGAGAGTACTTCCCTCTTTGTATAAGCTGTTTTGAACTTAATCTTCTCAGTTGTAAAATAAAAGTAATCTTCTGCCGCATTCCAACGGACACCGAGTGTTTTAGCATTACTTTTATCATCGAGCGACAAAAAAGAAGAGTTAAGAAGATGTTCTTGGGGCAAATTTTTTAAAATTTGTTTAGAGTTTGAGGCCCATTTTCTCAACTCAAACCCAGCTGTACCCAATATACCAATTAATTGGTCTCGTGCCTCCAAAGCATCAGGGATCGAATGAGCTCCAACAAGAGCATCATCAACATACATTGACTCACGAAGAATTCTTGAGCCTAGCGGAAAACATCGTTCTTCATCGTCAGCTAACTGTAAAAGCGTTCTAAGGGCCAAAAAGGGGGCACAATTAACGCCAAAAGTGACGGTGTTCAACTGATAATCTTCGATTTGGGTTTCACTAGGACTACGAAAAACTATCTTCTGATACTGTCTATGTTCAGATTTTAATAAAATTTGTCGATACATTTTGGATATATCTGCATTAAAGACAAACTGAAAGAGTCGCCATTTTAGAATTAGGGCTACTAAATCAGCTTGCAATATAGGGCCTACAAACAGCAAATCGTTAAGACTGTTACCATTAGAAGACGAGCTTGAAGCATTAAAAACAATTCTTAACTTTGTGGTGGTACTGTCAGGCTTAAAAACTCCATGGTGAGGTAAATAATAACTCGGACTACTTTCTGAATTTTCAATTTTCTCCATGTGTCCCAAAGCTATGTATTCTTTTAAAACCTCATCATATTGAGCCTTAAATTCAGGATTTCGCATTAAAACCTTTTCATTTCTTAAATATTGACTGAGAGCAATATGACGATTTGGGCCAAGTGACGAAAAAGTATCTTTAAAGGGCAAACAAACTATATATCTTCCTTCAGAATTTCTTGTGGAAGTAGAAAGATAGATCTCTTCACATTTTTTATCCTCTTCTGATAAAATCTTTCTACGAGAAACTTCTTCTAACTCCCAAAACTTTGTTAACTGATCGTCAATGGAAACTTTTGTCATATAATTGGTTATTGAAAAACGTGAGGAATCATTACTTGGAGTTGGGCCTGTGACAATCCAGCCAAAAATTGTCTCTTGGGCCACTAAAGATTCGAAAATTCCATGTTGAACTCCATCACGAAGAATTAGGGGATACAAATCACCTCCTAACAATAAGTCTATTTCACTGCTTTCATAAAACTTGGGGTCAGCATAATTCAGATTGGGCAAATCTATATTCTTTGGAGGCTTAAATGTATGTGTAGGTACATTTCCTGTTACACGAGTAACTACTAAAGCCTGAATATTTAGAGATACATTTTGATCAAACAGAGAAACAATTATAAAGTTCGCAATCTTTGAAGATTTGCTTACTAATTCTCCTCCTAAACCAGTAATTTCTGCGGAAACTGGCTTATTGGGCAACTTCAATACAGTTTGTATTCTCTGAGAAACAAAACTTTCATCCGAACAAGGATCTATGAGTGCTCGAACTTTGTAATAGGAACCACAACTAATTATATTGACCCAAGCTGTAGCCAACATCACTTTCTTAGCTACTGATGTGTGATGTGACTGAACAACACCAGACGGACCTGCGATATTAGTGGACTGTAATTGATTTGTATTTGTGGACTGTATTTGTTGGACAGAACTATTTTGACTTTCGCCCTGAAATCTAGTATTTCCTTGATTTTGGCTATTATTGTTTTTATTTACAAAATCCCTATGCATTAAAGTATGGTGCTTCCTTTTGCACTTGGAGCAACCGTTTGTGCTACTACAATCACCATGTTGAGGCAATTAAAACAATAACGAAATTTTTTCAAAGTAGAAACACGATTTCTATAATCCATATTCAAAAATCTGGTACAGGAGCTGATTTTATGGTTTTCTTTGCATAATTTGCAAAAAATGGTTTCAACTTTAGTATTATGGGCCTTAAATTGTTTTACTTTAGTTGATGTATGGTTATTGTTACTATTAAGTGCCGATTGGGAACCACTGGGATTTGAATTGTTTATAGCTATGATATCTGATACACTTTCAAGGGCATGAAATCTATCGGTGAGAAAATTATTTAATTCTTCCCATTTGGGAACCTCTGTTTTGTTCTTGAACGATTGTTCCCACAGATTAAGTGAACATTCTGAGAGACGGGATGAGCATTGGAATACAAAAATAGGGTCCCATGAATTAATATCTACATTGTATAACTTAAGGATAGCCATACAATTATTGATCTCCCTTTGAAGTCTTTTAATTTCACTAGCCGATTCTTGTTGACAAGGAGCTAAATTAAAGAGCAACTTCAATTGACTATTAATCAAAACCCGTTTATTTTCATACTGAATTTTCAAATTATTCCAAGCTATCTCAAAATTTTCTGCTGTCAGGGCAACATTTCTATTTATATCCCTTGCCTCACCATCAGTTTTTCTAAACAAGTAAAATAACTTTTCTACAGGGCTAAGTCTTGTATTGTTTATGTAAATCGCAGTAAACATATCCCTAAAGGTGGGCCACGAAACGTAATCCCAATGAAAAACACCAGTATCACAAGGAGGTACGGATATGGAACCACAAAGATTGGGAATTGCTGATTCTACATTTTCTTCAGTTTTTTTACCTAAGTTTGCTTTTGCTTTGGAAATAATGTTAATACATCTTATATATGTCTTGCGGACCTGCGGATGCTTTGTTTGTACCATTAACAATTCTTTCTTTTTTTCTATTGTGACATCAGAACAATCACTATAAATGCTTTTATAATTTTCCCATGATTTATCTAATTCTGATCTTTCAAAATCAAAAGCATCGTCCGTGTAACTAGAAAAATCTTCAGCTTTAAGCATAACCTCAAAGCTGATTAATTCATCCGCAGCCACTATGTATTTTTCAAAAATCGACATATTTTAATTTATTTAAGAGAACCACAAAAATATATTTCCAAAAATTTAAAACAAATCACAGAGTCACAAACTTCTTTAAATAAAATCAAGAAATGAAAAGAGAAACTGAAGTTTTTTAACACCATACAAAGTTAAAGAGAACCACAAAACTTTATTTTCCAATAAAAGAATTAAAGAGAACCACTAAGTTAAAATGCGCCAAAATCACAATTTCCAATAAGTTTAAAAACTTGAGAAAAAAGATGGACGACAAATTTATTTAGGTTCCAAAAATAAAACAACAAATACAAATGACCGTAAGGAAAAACGGCGGCTTAATGTAAAAGTTCACGATGTAATTTCAAAAAGTTACACAACCTCACTTTTTCCGAGCCACAAATAATGAACCACAATATATGCATATGAAACACTTTGCACTTTAATAATTTCAATTTACGGGAGAAGGACCAATGTTTGGGGCCAAATCGGGATTCCCGGTTGTTACCTCTTAGTTGCTGAGCTGGTTCCTAGGTGCTGGTTGTTGGCAAACTGTCTCCGGCAGCCGTCCACTTGGTTTTCTCTTGATGCGGCAGGTCAGGGCCAAATGTGTTTTTATATACACACAAACACTTGTTGTTGTGTTGCCAAAAAACAACCCTTATTTTTATTTTATTAAAAAGCTTTGTTTACTTCTTTTCTTTTGTATTTCTGTTTATTTTATTTAAGTTCACTTTTCCTTTTGTTTTTATTTAATTAAACTTTAATTTTATTTTAATTCTTAAACTTTTATTTTATTTCAATTTCTTTTATTAATTTTGCACTTGTTGTCTGTCCGGTGGTTGAAAAGCAATGAGAATAAAAAAAAATGTGTCAAGCCCTTTGACATAAAGAGCAACGCAAACTCACCACACTAAAGTGGGGAGTTGCCATACAATGCATATTGTTCTAGCGATTTTACACATAGAGAAAATATAAACTATGTGTTACACTAGACAGACACAAACAACAGTCAATTATGCATCATTTTAGAGCATTATGATTGCACTTTAATTTGGTATATCATTTGTAGCATAATGTGTTCGTCTAAAAAATGGTCAATTTGATGGATCGGTAGAATTATTGTTCTATGTTTAAAAACGCGGTAATTTGAGGTTCCGATATGGTTGCAAATAACTTTGACAGTTTTCGTGCTAGGGCAATAGTTTATGCATCATTTTAAAGCATAAGAGTTGCACTTTATTTTGGTGTATAACTTGTGGCATAATGAATTTTTACAAAAATTGGATAGATCGGTATATTTATTGGTACAGGTTCAAAAATGCGGTAATTTAAGGCTCCGATATGGTTGCAAATATCTTTTATAGTTTTCATGTTATAACAGTCGTTTATACATCTTTTTATTGCACTATAGTTGCCATTTGCTTTGGTATATAATTTATTCCATAATATATTTTTATAAAATGGCCAATTGGATAGATCGGTAGAATTATTTTCACAGCTTTAAAAACGCGGTAGTTTGAGGTTCCGATATGGTTGCAAATAACATTGACAGTTTTCATGCTAGGGCAATAGTTTAGGCATCATTTTAAAGCATAAGAGTTGCACTTTATTTTGGTGTATAATTTGTGGCATAATGAATTTTTACAAAAATTGGATAGATCGGTATATTTATATGTACAGGTTTTGAAATGCGGTAATTTAAGGCTCCGATATGGTTGCAAATATCTTTTATAGTTTTCATGTTATAGCAGTCGTTTATATATCTTTTTATTGCATTATAGTTGCCATTTGTTTTGGTATATAATTTATTGCATAATGTATTTTTAGAAAATGGCCAATTGGATAGATCGGTAGAATTATTTTCCCAGGTTTAAAAACGCGGTAATTTGAGGTTCCGATATGGTTGTGAATAACTTTGACAGTTTTCATGCTATGACAGTCATTTATGCATCATTTTAAAGCATTACAGTTGCACTTTGTTTTGGTGTATAATTTGTGGCATAATGAATTTTTACAAAAATTGGATAGATCGGTATATTTATTGGTACAGGTTTAAAAATGCGGTAATTTAAGGCTCCGATATGGTTGCAAATAACTTTTATAGTTTTCATGTTATAACAGTCGTTTATACATCTTTTTATTGCATTATAGTTGCCATTTGTTTTGGTACATAATTTATTGCATAATATATTTTTAGAAAATGGCCAATTGGATAGATCGATAGAATTATTTTCACAGGTTTAAAAAGGCGGTAATTTGAGGTTTCGATATGGTTGTGAATAACTTTGACAGTTTTCATGCTATGACAGTCATTTATGCATCATTTTAAAGCATTATGATTGCACTTTAATTTGGTATATCATTTGTGGCATAATGTTTTCGTCTAAAAAATGGTCAGCTTGATGGATCGGTAGAATCATTGTTCTATGTTTAAAAACGCGATAATTTGAGGTTCCGATATGGTTGCAAATAACATTGACAGTTTTCATGCTATGACAGTCATTTATGCATCATTTTAAAGCATTATGATTGCACTTTAATATGGTATATCATTTGTAGCATAATGTGTGTTTTTACAAATTGGTCAATTTGATAGATCGGTAGAATTATTGTTCTATGTTTATTAAACGCAGTAATCTGAGGTTCCGATATGGTTGCAATTAACTTTGGTAGTTTTCGTGCTAGGACAGTCGTTTATGCACCATTTTAAAGCATTAAAATTGCCATTTGTTTCGGTATATAATTTATTGCATAATGTATTTTTAGAAAATGACCAATTGGATAGATCGGTAGAATTATTTTCCCAGGTTTAAAAAGGCGGTAATTTGAGGTTCCGATATGGTTGCAAATAACTTTGACAGTTTTCATGCTAGGGCAATAGTTTAGGCATCATTTTAAAGCATAAGAGTTGCACTTTATTTTGGTGTATAATTTGTGGCGTAATGAATTTTTACAAAAATTGGATAGATCGGTATATTTATTGGTACAGGTTCAAAAATGCGGTAATTTAAGGCTCCGATATGGTTGCAAATAACTTTTATAGTTTTCATGTTATAACAGTCGTTTATATATCTTTTTATTGCACTATAGTTGTCATTTGCTTTGGTATATAATTTATTCCATAATATATTTTTAGAAAATGGCCAATTGGATAGATCGGTAGAATTATTTTCACAGCTTTAAAAACGCGGTAGTTTTAGGTTCCGATATGGTTGCAAATAACATTGACAGTTTTCATGCTATGACAATCATTTATGCACCATTTTTAAGCATTATGATTGCACTTTAATATGGAACATAATTTGTTGCATAATGTGTGTTTTTACAAATTGGTCAATTGATAGATCGGTGGAATTATTGTTCTATGTTTAATAAACGCTGTAATTTGAGGTTCCGATATGGTTGCAATTAACTTTGGCAGTTTTCGTGCTAGGACAGTCATTTATGCACCATTTTAAAGCATTAAAATTGCCATTTGTTTTGGTATATAATTTATTGCATAATGTATTTTTAGAAAATGGCCAATTGGGTAGATCGGTAGAATTATTTTCCCAGGTTTAAAAAGGCGGTAATTTGAGGTTCCGATATGGTTGCGAATAACTTTGACAGTTTTCATGCTATGGCAATAATTTATGCATCACTTTAATGCGTTACGTTTGTACTTTAACTTGGTATATCATTTGTGGCAAAATGTGTTCTTCTAAAAAATTGTAAATTCGATGGATCGGTAGAATTGTTGTTCTATGTTTAAAAACGCTATGATTTGAGTTTCCGATATGGTTGCAAATAACTTTGACAGTTTTCATGCCAGGACAATCGATTATGCATCATTTTAAAGCATTA